ACACAACGATATTGTCTGAATTGCTATCTTCATTGCAGCGCTTCAGAGCAACACTCCATACCAGATAGAACTGGGGGCATGAATTCATATGTTAAATAGATATCACGTGTTCAGAAACAAACTCTTGGTAATCATGCAACAATACAAATTGTCTAAGCTTCTCGTTATTGAAAAAATAACCTTCTATGCAGTGAAGTTCACCTGCGATTACGCAACGCCGGTAATCCTTGGTCCAAAAAGAAATGACAAAGATGCTGTTGCTTTTCTCGTCTATGTAGAAAACGAAGAGAAGGATCACCAAAGTCTAAGATGTATGCAGTATTCTTCAGCTCAACTATCGAGCCCTATCTAACAGCAGTGCTGGAGAAAAACGTTTGCAGATTCCGGGGTATGCTGCTTGACGACTTCAAAAAACAGATGCTTGCTTCCTTGGGAACCGTTAATGGGACGTGAATCAAGTCGACCACGAGAATGGTCATAGACGACGTAAGCAAAAGTTGACCTCCTGAGCAATTCACGAGCATCTGTTGGACTACAGTTGAAAAGCTGTCCCAAAGCAAAGTGCAAAGATCACAAGACCTCTCTCTGTATAGTGAGGAGTCAAGGCAAGTAAATGGGTATTCACTGGATATAAACACAGTTGGAGGCAGCACGGCTACCCGACATGGTGTAATCCGTCAGTCGACCTTAATCTTCAAATTGAAAGGTCTACCTGTCGCGCGCACAGCTGAACTTGACAAATACAAATGCTGAATGTTCCAGGCAGAGTGTCAGGTGGAGTTCTACGCAGTCAGTGAAGAGGATAGTTTTGTTTCCTTATCTCCACATAAAATCTGAGATTCACTACATAAAGGCTTCAAGTAAATCCCCGACAGATACCTGTGCATGCACTTTCACTAGGCATCCTGAAAGTGCAATCTAAGAAGTTCTTGTTGTTAGTTAGTTATTCGTTCTACTCAAATTAAATGAACTCCAATCACACCTCAGATAATAGAAGAGAGATCCGCGGGTGAAATTAAAATAGGTTTTGATTCGCCACAGGTTTGAAACAGAACTATATTATTTATCTTGGTTTTCACCATTGCGAAAGCGGTTTTCGTAAATGATGCTGCTAGTGTATAAACGGAGTATAGGCTTGGTGTACATCAGTTCAGCACCGTCTATCATGAGGAGGTCCGCATTTCCATGTTTGCGCATGACCATTCTGTGTCCATCCGTACGGTGCACTGTAATTCCTAATTGGAGAATTCCTATCTGCAGTTTCACAGTCTGTTTCTATTCGTATACTTAGTAAGACTTCCTTATTGCCTTTATCCGTATGGTTGCCCTGTGGTGGACCGTATCCTAGCCCGTATGAAACACTGTTGAGTGTTTTTCACTAGGCCCTGAAAATAGGTGAACATGCAGTTATTTTTCTCGAACTATTTCACCGACTCCATGGTTGGTCTGCTTCATCTTCTGATTGCGTGATATTTCGTCACTTTTTAAGTACCAAGGGAGTTTTTCAATTTCTTGACCTTCCTGATCGATATCTCCATACGGCGTAAACTCCACTTTCTGAAGACATTTAATAGCTCTTCTTCACTCCATTGATTGCCTACTGAAGTATAGTTTGCCATAATATGTCCTTGAAGGTGCAAGGTAAGCTCCAGCTTATTGGCTGAAAAAACGGATGTGCAACCTGCAGGCAAACAAGTCTATGGTAAAATACATTCTCCAACTGGTGCGAAATAGCGTTGTGTATGCAATAAAGATGTGTTGGGTGAACGCTCTCAAACAGTCCTTTTTTACTTCCCATCACATGGGATTGTTTTTATCCTCTGTGCTTGACTCGTAGAACGTTTGGCACTGGTGGGTCAGTGTACATATCTTAAGTGCTAACATAATGTAGCACAGAGTGGCATTGTTGGCATCGTTTATGACATTTCGTTTCTAATTCGCTGATATTACTGGGGTAGTTTTGAAAAAACCAGGCAAACCTCTTTTTAAAGCACCTTCTTTCGTTTTCTGGCTATCTGAATACGAATAGGCACCAGTGATAAACACGCTTACCCTGTAGCTCTTCAGACCATGCTAATTCTTCCAGCCCCCAAATTGTCATCTTATTGTCTGTGCTGTTTCAGCCCTGTACTGTTTGTAGCAGTCTACCCACGTTGTTGACCACAATAACCTGTATTATTGGGATTGCACAAAACATTTCGAAACCTTTGAAAACTGGAATGGCTGGTCTCCTGGATGTCTTGACAAACTGTAGGGTGAATTATGCCTAGTGCCGATTCACTTTCACTGTCCAGTTTAAGCAGCTCCTTATGACCTCTGGTCATTTTGATCTTTTTGCGACAAAACGGTGAAAGAACGATCATGGTTACTGGGTGAAGATACTTGAGGACCGTCAACCGATTCATTAATCTCACGCGGTGACCCCAATCGATCTATGGGCAGGGGTCAAAACAGCATTTTTTTATCGACCTATCCTAAGCAGCTAGTTTGAGAAAGTGACCTTGCTATGGGAAGTATGCAGCAGAACTTCTAGCCGTCTAATGGAATTGATGTACAAAGTCTGCAATTTCTTTAACATTTCTACCAGTTTTATGCGGTATTCTCAGCGTAAGTTCAATCAAAATCCAACGTTTGTTGCATAGCCAATTCGCGGCACGTAGAGATAAGTGCCTGTGAGATCCATCCAAAGAAAATGAAGCCTCAACACTATTTCGTTGAAACCAAAATTTGTGTTCTCAATGAGTTATCACCAGTAGCTGATAAGCAAAGTCGACACGAAAGGCTCGGTCATGTTGCCGAACACAAGAAAAAGATTCGATAAAAAATTCCACAAAGTAATCGTACCACATCCTGGGAAATCTGTACCCAATCAGTGGTGGTACTGAGGTGCTCGAGATAAGAAGAAGCGAGCCGCGTTTGATCTATTGACCGAATACGTAAAAGAAAGCATTCTTAAAGTATGAACAGCAGCTGGCGTAATGATTACGTACATGATAACAGCTGCTTAGATAGTTGATTTTCGATCGGAGTTTTATTCGCACACGGTAGTCTCTTTTTGCACGAACATTCCTATAGGTCCGTACTCATGAAGATAGGTTATCTCAGAATTAACAGTCTAGTAGATAGGCAACAAGTAAAGAAAAATAAGACACTCCTTATCTTTGAAGTACCGTCTGTGAAAAATACTTTGGAATGTCATTCGTTCTCACTCTTAATTAGATGAATTTGGAGATACTTTTCCCTGTTTTATCCAACCTGTGATTGGGGTGCAATATTCAACTGAAGCTTCTCACGTGGCAATCGAATGATTCCACATAATCTGCATTCATTATACCGCGAATTCAGAACACCACCCCATGTTTTTGACTTACTAGCCATCAATGGTCGGCACGTTTCTCAACCGAATAAGATAAATCAATTGTTTCTAGCCACTTGGTTTTGGCAGATTATATCCGGCTGAAAGTTGGTTCCCGTGACCTAAAATCGGATTTTTATTTTAAAGTGGACTGGTTATGCCATGTTGTTGAAACGTGAAAGGTTAACTACATCCCTACCACTTATAACGGTACCGAAGGGATGCCATTCACAATCTCTCAAATATTAAAAGTCGAAAATTTTACTTGGCATTTGGGTTGCGTCATGTCATTTACTTGAACGGAATTAGGTCTTACAAGAAAGCCTGGTATTTAAGTTTCTACAAGAATCCCGTGCATAGTGTTGGTAAGATTTCCGCACCTGTTAAGTTCTGCACACGGCCAGGTGCACCTCACGCGTCTGGCCAGGATAAAATCACTTAGACCTCATTTGCCATGCACTACTCATAAGGTTGCTGAAATTAAGTTCTGCACACGGCCAGGTGCACCTCACGCGTCTGGCCAGGATAAAATCACTTAGACCTCATTTGCCATGCACTACTCATAAGGTTGCTGAAAAATCCCCAACAACCTTATGAGTATTGAATTACAAATGTATATGTATCGCGATATCTTCAATACCGTAGCGACTGAAACATGAAGCCGCCTGGTGCAGCACATTCGGTTGCCTAGAAACATCACAAACGAGACATTCAGCTGGGTTCCGGGTGATTCTCCCGCAAAACCAAATTTATTTGCAAGCGAGTGTATTTCACTCATTGGCCATTTTTCAACCACCACTCACTTGCACGCCAGATAAACTTTCAAAAGCAGTATGCAGACCCAGTAAAGTAGAAACGTGCGAGGAACTTTGTCCAGTATATTATCAGCTGGGTTATTTTGGGTTTATTGCATGACTTCTCTAAGATGAGTTGAACCGGGGATAATTCATGTTTTATGCGTACGATGCCAATATTTCCCCCGAACTCATTAAATATTGCTTTATTACTCCTGCATCTCTTGAGGTGTGGTGAATTCGACAGCACAAGCTGACTTCTAAATTTTACCCTCTCATTCTAACACAATTCATCAAAAAGTTATTACTGCTCTCAAAGCTCTAATGGCTGCGTGGTGATGGTGTCACAGAAAATATGTCAAAGACTCCCGTTTTTAAGCGTCAAAGAGTCTACCTTCTATTTACTACAGTGCATAAAATTAAACACCGATTAAGCACTCCATCATTATTTACTTTATTATAAAACGACATAGATGTTTAAAGTATGACCATTGTGATTGGTTAACAATATAGCAACAAAATATTAAAAATGTGTAGGGTTGAAGGGCTTGATAAAAATCGCTAGACCACGGATGATTGCCATTCATTAGGTTCTCGTCTGTCTGAGGCCTTTTAGCTAGCGCGTTTACTTGATGCACTGTTCAATAAAACGCCAGGACAATTTCAAATCTGATGTTTTTTGTTGTATATGAATGTAGAATTTCTTTCCACGAATTGCAGCATCAGGGGGGGAATCAATACAAGTTTAATGACCTTGAATGGCCAACCCAACATAATTCCCTTTACTGTTGGTAACATGGTCGCATTTTGCGTGTCAACTGTAACAATGTCTTTTTTATTCCTCGTTTTAGCAACGAATCCACAACCAGAACAAGCGAATGGTGGGCCAGCAGATGACATCTCACGGACTCATACCGAATCCCACGATGAGCAAGTAATAAGGTCAAGTGATGGCAAAGTCAAAGTGGTTAAGTCTTCGATTTCGGAATCAAAGGAATATGTGCATCGGATACAAAAGTCTTTCTCGGGTAGATCTCCGGAGACCAGCGTATCAGAGTTTAGTGACCTACCTCGAGTGCGAGCATCCACAGATCAGAGAAAACATACAACCATAGAGGTTGAACCTTCAGCTTCGAGTACACCAGTAACGGTCGTTCGGAATATTGATGGTCACACTTATGAATCTCCTAAAGTGTATAGATCAAGTCCTGTAGACAGATCTGAGCGCCCTCCCGTCATGCCACGCCCGATCATTCCCCAGTCCGTTACACATATGGTTCCAATTGAACAACATGAAGCCATGAAACGCCAGCTTGAATCAGAAATAGCCTATTTGAAAAGCATCAGCAGTCCTTCCCAGCAACATGGAGAAGAACAAACCTCAAAAGAACTGTTACACAGACGCATAATCATGCTCGAATCCGACCTGCGTGATTCCAGAAAGTAAGTTTTTCTAATACGTCCGCACTAGAACTGATGGATTTTATTTTGTTACAATCAATAATCAAATGGTGGGCGCAATACATTTAGATGCATTGCGTGGTGTATTTGCAGACAAAATCAATGCGTCCCTTTCCTGGCACCCACAAATCAACACAAACCACTCACGAATCAACTGTTTTCAAGCGCCCATCAGGGATAAGTGGTGGATGATAACACAGCTGTGACAAACGACTCTATAAGAGAAAGCTCAAACCCGGTGGAGTGTATCAGGAGCCATCACATCTACTCATGTATGCAAAGTTGATCTGTATGGCAGGTATACAGGTTCAGAGACCAGAAGCTTCAACGATTTGAGAATCGTTAACTTAGGTCATTGATAGGCATTCTGACCGTTTATCAGCTGGAAGTGATGGAATTATAGTATAATCCCCAGACAACCATCTTTCGTAATGGGTAACGTTTTCCATATCGAGCACGTATCAATTATTAATAGTGATAGCACGATTATGTACCCGTTATCATTCTGTATGCAGCAATCTTCTAGGTAAGACTAATACAAAGAGAAGCTACTTCCACTTGAGCCGCAAAAAGGGTTTCTTCAGGTGTAGTTGACTGGAAAAGCATCTACTTTCCGACTAAAAATGAGTGCCCACTTCTTTTTCGATGATAATTACTGGAGAAATTATGATGTTGGAAAAAATCACCATGCTGTAAAATTTATGCTGTCCAGGTTTGGTTTATAAGCAGCGACATTTGGATATTTCGTCAAGTGCCCAGATTTGCTGTCGTTCCTCGCTACAAACCCCGCATCTTAATGGAAACATCCACATCTCCGCTATTTTGTCGAAAATGTTGCATGGGGAGCTTGATGTTCAGGCTAGCGGCGTTCCTAAGAGGCCTTACCTTGATTGTAGAAAAAGAATTAAGAAAATTCAGAGATCTGGTTAAAACATAACCACGTCTTCAAACTGCGTTGTCGTGTTACCAATCCTAATCATGTTAACGACGAGTACAATTGAGTATTCTTAATTTTGTGTCTGCACCTCCGGATGTTAGTAAAAATTTAGTTCAGCTAATGCGCTTATAGACAATTGATGTTCTTGGTTTCACCATACCAGCTTATAAGTTTTGTCCCATATATACAGGGCCAATAAAACATCGAACTTTGGATAATCCTCTTGAGAAACATTACCAGTCTTGCTCTACTAAGACAACATCAACAGGAAAATCGCGCCTGAAAAAGGCTCCCTTGGAATAAATTTTGATACATTTTTTATGCATACGCTTCAATTGTTCCTGTCAGCAGTATGAGCGCTAAACGAAATTTCAGAAGTTGCAGATTTGGACGTTGAGGCCACACCAGACAGACGTATATAGTAGGTTCAATGTCGCAAAAGAGGTTCTCATCAATGTTGTGCAGATTTCTGCCTTAATTCCAAGCCATGCTATCAAGATTGTTAGGGATGCAATTAACAAAAGTGCTTTGATGCGAATCGAGTAATAAGTCACCATTCACTCTTGCTTCTTGGATTCGGAAAAATCGAGAATTCAGGAGAGAAAAATCCCAGCTAGATACTAGTTTCATACATTTCACAAAATGTAGGTCAAGTATATTTGTAGTGTAACGTTTAGATTCACAACTGTCTTCCCAAAATCACCTAACACATGTCTATAAAAAACAGAGGACTACTCAATCGAGGATTCCTGGCTAAGTTCAACGTAGTTGACGGTTTCATTCGTTCAGTGCACACTGTTACAATGAAGTGACTTACAACAGACCAGAAAACACGTTACGCTTCGTGCATTCATTAACTATCCGGTGTACAGTTTTTTCTCTAAGCCTGTTTGGTGGGCGGCTTTATAAGCATGTCAAAAATAGTGAAAAACCTAGGCAGTTTTTGCACTTAATGTCATTACGTGACGCAAAACAGAAGGATTGTTTTTCTTCGAATTTCTCAAAAACTCATGTTAGTCAGATAAGAACCAAACCAAACTCATATCATAGTGTCTAAAACATTAAAATCACCACAACTGTCATAAAACTGTGAACATTCGTTCTTAGACTTATGTTTACCTTAAGGCCTCTCTTCGATACTCAGTATTATTGCATACAAATGAGATCTTCATCAGGCTTACTTTCAACTAGCATGTTTCGTTTTGAGAGATGAAAGTGAAGTCATGTGGAATTCGACTTCTTAATCATATTTCTCACAAAAAAACATGGATAACAGCAGATATCTTGTGAACCGTCCACCAAACACACCGACTTGTTTAGGTTTTTTGGTGCATATTTTTCACACGGGTTGTAGGCATATTTAGTTCGTGTTAATTATTAAAATTGCTTCTGGTTTACTCAGAGCACCTTGCATGAGACTGTGTGAATTGATCTGCACACCTAAAGTTAATTTCGGTTGGCAGGTACGGACTTCTGACTATCTGTGCCACTATGGTGCAAAAAGAAACTGTGTCGTCATTCATTCACGAAGCGAAAATGACGTCTTCCTTGAACATCTCGAAAGTCGGGAAAAATCAGAACAAATTGTTCCTAAAGGGAACGACAATTTTGTCCTTTCATTTCTCCCATCACCGGGAGACCGCCCACTTCATATGAAAGCTTTTTACCCAAATGAATTCTGGTTTTCTGCGTTCCACTTAATGTTTGGCTAGACTAAACTGCTAACCCGAGAGTCTACGCGACGTCGACACGGCACTTCGAGCTGCTCAACACATCCTACTAGCCGGTATTCGTCCCCCGGTTATTCGGCTTTCTGAGGGCAAGTTTTCGGTTCTGTAAATGATCAATTTACAGAGGCGTGCATGACCTCAAAGTGTTGATGAACAACATTGAGAGTGGTTATCTTTGGCAAGTATACTTATAAATATGAATGAAACACCGTGAACTGGAATGAAAAAATGCGAGTGGGTCTGCAAATGGCACATCTAAACATACTTTCCCACCCACTGTCACGGTGGTTGTCCCGGATGTATGTAACTGCTGATATGCACTCTGTCCGGATTGCAAAAGCACTTAATTGCCACACCCACGTTGTTTGAAATCACATTTTCTTTGGAAAAAATCAATTCATTTGAGGTTTTAGAAGCTGAGTGGATCAAACGAGGACTATTGTTTCAGCATTTCTTGCAATTTCACGAGTGAGGTATAAAAAACTAGAAAGCATAAATTATCCGGTCCTTGTTTTTACCTGATGGCCAGTCAATATTTGTATCAGACTGCCATTTGTCTCACCCGAAGTTGTAAGTTTGTCATGACCGCAGCCATCCCGATTCAGTGTTTTTTTGCTGGCATGAGGGAGGTTCCGAACAGCAATTACTCCACATTTCATTATTTGCACAGAATTTTCTGTGTAAAGAAATCGCACCCAAATGCACCTGACCACTATAATAATAATCGTTCAGCTGTAACACCCTTTCGGTGTCTAACTGTCATGCCACCCGAAGGAAGCACGAGGGCTGGGATACTGCCAGGTCGCTCACACCTGGGCAAAGAAGCCGACAGGCAGAGGTCGGGTTCAAACCACGGACCTTCCGGTCAGTAAACTCGCACTCTAACCACTTGGTCCATCTCACCCTCCACCTGACTGGGATAATTAGACGAGTCCTCCGATTTCCGCGAGGTTATTGGAATAACTCCACATTGGTATAAAGAGCATAGAATGCTGCCAAAATGTAAGGTGAAATGTGTTGCCTGTTGCGAAATTTAAACTTAGACTGTATTGATGCATAGCATATCCTCACGGCTTGTTGTGAAATGTACAGCTAAGAACGAGTTCAGTTGTCATGACCTTCTGCTCAACTCCAGGGCGGTCGCAAGCAACGCAATGTTTATTCACATCCAATCCAAGAAAAACGAACAGGCTCAATCAAATTGTGACTATATGTGACGATAAGATGTTGGAAAATATCTGATTCTGATTTACTGACGCAAACGTGCCCATTTACTGTAACACTTTTCGAAATACCTATGTTTATTTTGACAGCTGGTGAAATATCAAATATTCGGCTCTTGGATTCTTTACAGTTTTCAGCGCACATAACAATATCCACTCTCGAGACCCAGTAATGTATTGTATTTCAACGCATGCGCACGTGCACGCACACCGTGTGTGCTCATATCGATCAGAACTTCCGATACAACACTACCGCACTTGCCAACCAGGTTAATTGCAAGGAGACTAAGCAAAGCTGTATCGATAGAATGTTAAGACCAAATGATGGGCTCAATTTCTGGTCATGTGTGACGGAAGCTTTAAAACTGTTCATATGCCGTCAGGGCAACGGATGGTAAAGGCGATGGGGCGTCAGCGTCATACGCTTACCTCATTGCCACCACTGCCGACCAGTACTTAATCATGTTGCGAGCACGCACTCAAATTCGATTATTTAGTCTGGTGTTAACCCTGTCTCTTCTGTCACCGTATGGCTGGATCTGAAATTTGCATTAGTTCACCGAAGCCGGAGAGCATTGGACTGGCATTTCGCTCAGCTCAGCGGCAATGCTGCCGTCTGTGACTAGTGCACCCTTGATGCGCATGCGTGGTTCGGTCCAAAAGGGCGAACATCAGGCTTTAGCGAATAGTTTGGTTTGCTTATTGTTCTTGGCGGCAACCCAGTAACTGTCCTAGGTGTTTCGCTTGGTTGAACAGCTTCTATTTAAGCTGTGGCTATATGTAAGTCTCCCAAATAAGAAATAGCTCACCTCCTAGGAGAATTTCGCCTTTTTTCGTACTCCTAGCAGGGAGAATCTCGTGATAATATGTATATTAAATTTATTGGATTTCATTGCAACCGTGATGTGCATTTATGAAAAAAAGGGGACAAATTATCACGTTCCATCACTTGCACAAGAACAAAAAGTCATAAAGGGAATCATGCATACAAAGCATAAGAGATAATCCAGTGGCGAATCACCACCTAGTTCTTGAGAAGTAACAAATAACGACATCAGGTTTCCTCTTTTTGCGTAAGTTTACAAAAACATG